AGTGCTGCACAGACCTTCCAGCTTACAAAGCACAACGTGCGTTTTCAAGTTCAGCCAGTTTTCAGATGTACTGGAGCAGAAGAAAAACATCTTGAGAGCCCTGCCATATGCAGCCTTTTGCTTAACCCACAAACCTACATGTAAATTGCTACTGCAGTCCGCAGAGCCCTGTGCTTTGCACCTCCAGAGACAGTTAACCTTTGTGGGTTTGTTTTCCCCTAGGGGGAAGAGCATCTGCAGTGGTGAAGTTCCCATTTAAATATACATGTATGTGAATAATCGAAATCGAACACAGTTATGTATTTGCGTTAGAGGAAGCAAAGTCAGCGGAGCCTGTCTTGGACATGGTAAGCCTGCAGTGCTCTCATGTCCTGGGCAAAGTTATTTCAAACCAGAATGGAAGTCTGGACAGATCAAGTGCTCTACCATTAATTGCTTCTCTTTCCTGACATGGACTCACACTTCCACCCACCCTTATAAGAGATTTTCAGTGTAAAAGTCAAAACATGACACAGAAAGCACTCAGGATAATTTTGAAGCACAGAAGTGGTGCAGCAATTCAAACTACATATAGCAACAAGCCTGAACTTAGCACTGGGGCAGGATCATAGAATAGTCTGGCTTGGAAGGGACCTTTAAAGGTCATCTAGTCCAACACCCCTGCAATGGGCAAGGACATCTTCAACTACCTCAGGTTGCTCAGAACCCTGTCCATCCTGACCTTGAATGTTTCCAGGGATGGGGCACCTACCACCTCTCTGGGCAACCCGTTCCAGTCTTTCACCACCCTCATTGTAAAAAATTTCTTCCTTATATCTAGTCTGAATCTACCCTCCTTTAGTTTAAAACCATTACCCCTTGTCCTATTGCTACAGGGCCTACTAAAAAGTCACAAAAGGTTGCTTAAGTTTGATCTATCTGATGGAGATGAGTACCATGGCTTCCACCAATCCTTCTCAAAGTTCAGACACTTCCATACACTAGGACGCTCTTTCCCATTTTCACTAACCCATTGCCCACCATCCTGGAGAAAAATGCACTGGAAGGTCAGCTGGTAAGTCCACAGGGACCAGGAAAACACCAGCAATGGGCTGTTACTTCTATTCTTTACCGGGGATTTTCCACCACAGTCAAGAGTCACCGCTTCTTTTACAGTCAGTCTGGCAAACTCCTGTTCTGTGGTCCTGCCTCAGCTCAAGCTACTTGGACCAGAGTACAAAACATCACCCTGCTTGCTAATGGCACACCTCCATCACCAAGCCCTGCCTGAGGGGTCAGCACCAGGGTTCCCCTGCAAACAGCTCTGCCTTCTTAGGCTAAGCTCAAGGCAAGATGTGCTGGAAGAATGCGTGCAGCAGTGATGTGCAAGAGGAGGTAAAGGGACACTGCTGCCACATTAGGCAGGATCAAGACATTTTCAAAAGTCAAGCTGAAAACCAGGTTTCACTGTGTGAAGAGGGCTATGGAGCTCAGGCCAGTACAGCTCTCCCTGCCTGGCAGTATGAACTCCCTTCAAGAGCTAAGTCTATTTTGACACCTGCAGCACAAGTGCTACTAAACCTCACTCAGGAGCTCAGAGGGCTGCCAAGACAGTTTCAGGAAGAGAGGAAGTTGGAAGAAAAATAAATGCTCTTAGATGTCCTCCACGCTGTTTGTGGTGGGGTAGAAAACAAGCATACCAGCTCCAAGGAAAGCTTTTCCCATTCACAATGGAGAAAACGATCCTTAACTCCCCAAATCTGTTTCTCTTGCACTCCAGTTAATCCACAAGAGCGGCTATGGCTAAAATTTCTACACAAGATCTGCCCATTTCAAAGGGTTTTGTTGTCCAGGTTGCAAATCTGGGTAAGTTTTGCTAGTCTGCAACCCCTTCCTCAAAAAAAAAAGTTTTACACTTAAATAGCAACAACTGCAGCAACTCATCCCCCAAATCACACCCAGCATCTGCAGCTGAGATAACCGCAACATGCTTTCTCCACTCCGCTGAGTGATGATCAAGGCAGAGCATTAAAAGCTACTTCAGATGGGATTGCACAATTATCCACACTCCTCCACATCATGACATCCCTAAGGGCAAGTTCTTGCACAGGAAACTGGATTGCCACACACACACAGCTGCTGGGCTTTTCTGCCTCTTCTTTCACATGTTTGCATCTTAGTTGTTGTAGCAAGTGTCCTCACAGACAAAGGGCCACCAAAGCCACTGCAGGCTGGTGGGAAGGGTAACAACTCATTTTCATTTGATTACCAAAGGGGGCAAAGTTGCAACCAGAGCAAGCCCTGGACCACACTGGAATTAGGCTTGACTACAACCTTAAAGACTTGCTGGAAAAGCAAGAAAGTGTTTGTAGGCTCAAAGGAACTGTCATCACTATTGCTCATGGTAGTTAGCCAGGCTAATATAACACCACTAAACAGCTTCCCTGATTCCCCTACCAAGGCTGGGCATCATTTACTTCTGGGTCCTGTTTTCACCACATGAAGGACCCATTTCATGTACCCCACAGCAATGGGGAGCAACCATCCCACTCATCCCATTACAAGGAAACAAGGATTCCCTCTGCTGCCCAAGAACTTTTGCTCTAAATTGAGCTTTTTTTTGTAGCCTTTGCAACAGGCTAAACTGACCTCAAGAAACCTAGTGGGCTGTTGTAGTAAAATTTGAAACTACGGGTGACAGCTCCATTTTGCCAGTATATTCTCTTCCAGGACTGCATACGAGCTGTGCTTCCTACAACCCAGACACGCACTGGATGCAAAGCATCAATTCAATCATGCAAGACCGACTTCCTCCTCCATTGGGTTCTCCTACCAGGTTGGCAGGAGACAGTCTTTCCACAGAGAGAGAAATGCAAGGACACAAGCTCTTCTGATAACAACATATATGTTTATCCTTCCTGTCATGGGCCATACTTGGAACCCACATTCTGGATGTACGCTCTGTGAGCGCATCCCATGCACGCACACCTGCAGAACTTTGCAGAACACCACATTATGGTTAGTCCGAGTTCCTCTAGATGTTTTCAAGTCCTCTGAACAGCACAATTTGGAAATCTTACCTATTCAAATTCAGGTTCTCCTACAGCTAAGCCGAACTGGTACTTCAGCGCAGAAGGAATGCAAAAGGCGTTGGCTTGGGTTCAGATAGGAACTGAATTTCCACTCACTGATCTGTAAGACCGAGCAAGCTGGCCTGCAACGTCCCATTAAAGCAGAAATGACAGACATACAAACGACAGAAATACACACCCAGGAACGTCACAGTACTGAAGGAAGAAGTATCAAAGCAGGGCTGACGCTGACTCCAGCGACAGCACCGTCCCAAGATCTAGATGAAGCAGTCATCCAGCTGGGACTGCCCAACTTGATGCTAGGCTGGATGGAGTGAAGATGTAAATCAAGGTTCCCAGGAACCTTTTTGACTCCGCACAGACATCACCATCAGCTCAAGAGGTTCCCATACCTCCCAGCTGCTGGGATCTTTTCCTCCCCAGGAGGCTGCCAACCAAACTGGCCACATGAATAGCCCAAAAGCTGCTTCAAAGCAAGTTATTGCCTAACGTAAGGTCGTTGGTAAGCCCCTTACAACCACCGTGGGTGAGAAGCCTGCATACAAACAGCCCCAACAGCAGATCTGAGAAAGCCTCCAGCCGGGCGGGTGTGAATGGGGCACAGATAAGAAACAGCTGGGGTGAATTTGGGACCACCAGCCCAGCTGCAGCCAGAGGAGATGGTGCGGTTGAGATCCCAGGGCTGTAAACACATCTGCTTTTGGGGTCCCAGCCAGCAGTTTCCTCCGCAGCTTTAGTCATTGAGTGGATTCACAATGAAACCGCATAGGATCAGCTTTAAGTTTTTCCTCATTAACCAAGAGGTTGTTAATGTTCAAGGAAATAATAGCCCTTGCACCAGGGGGAGGACAACCGTTAGCCCAGGGCTGATGATTTGCTAGCAGGGGTTATGTAGCCTTCATCCACAGGAGTATTTTGATATGATTAACCAATGTCCTTGATTTTATGGGACACCCCATGGAGTTTACGGGACAGTTAACCCATATGCACACATCACTAAGGGGAGCAGACACACAAAATTAATCTATTCTTACTGTCAGTATTTGGTGAAACACAAGCAGTGAAGGGTTGCAACTGGGCTGCTCCAGCTGGAAAAAGCAATCAGTTATCGCAGGAAGAACTCAGTGCAGTTTTCCCTGGCAGCTTGGTGTTAACCGCAGCGCTGGAGCCTTTGAAAGCGGTTTCCAGAAGGCAGAGACGGGCAAGCGAGCCTCAAAAATCTGCAGCTACTTGGCCAGAAAACTTGAAGTTTTAGTTTGCCGTCACCACAGGCTTTTAAACAAGGAAAACAGATCAAGTTCTGGCATGTTACTCAGCTTGTGTGGAACCACTTAACCCAAAAGAGGAGCAACGCACATGTTGCTCTAAGTAAAATGCAGCTGCAGCACAAAGAAACAGTAAATTTTCTCAGGTCTTTCACTATTAGTGTTCCCCGCCTTTTCTCACTGCTCAGCTGCTTTCTACCCCCCCTTCACAGGAATCAGTGAAACACGTTCTCTCAGTAACCTCCCGTCGCCAGCCCTAAAACTTTACAGTTTAAGCAAAGTTAAACAAAACAGCATCACAAACCAATTAAGGGCACTATTACTGTAATCGAGCAGCACCGCATCTGACACCCGCCCTATCTTTGTGCGCTTCTTCCTTACAAACCGTCGGGTTACACCATTAGTTTTCACCCTTCATTAAAATTTTCTAAGTGACTGAGCAATCGCTCACACAAGCGGAGTCAGTCTTGACAGATTATAGCTGCAAGTTCGCGGTGCTTCATTACCAGCAGATTAAAGCTCAGAACAAGAGTTTGAAGAACAAGCATCTGGCGCCATAACCGCCGGCTCGGAACAGTTGTAACCACAAACTACCGCACTCCCCACCGCTTTAAACCCTACAGGTAGACAACGCAAAACTTGGTGCTCTTAAATTACTGGGTACCCACCACCCCAGGAGCGCAGCCCAGAGCCCGGCCAAGGCGCAGGCGGTCCCCAGGGGCCACCCCCGCGGGGCGGAGGGTGCCCGCCCGGCCGAGCAGCCCCCGGTACTCACGCATGAGGGTGCTGAAGGCGCAGAGGGCCAGCAGCGACTATGGGGATGGGGATGGGGATGGGGATGGGGATGGGGATGGGGATGGGGATGGGGATGGGGATGGGGATGGGGATGGGGATGGGGATGGGGTAGGGATAGGGATAGGGATAGGGATAGGGATAGGGATAGGGATAGGGATAGGGATAGGCATCGGGACGGAGATCGGGATAGGGATAGGGATAGGCATCGGGACGGAGATCGGGATGGATATGGGGATAGGGATGGGGATGGGGATGGGGTTGGGGATGAGAATGGAGATAGGGATGGGGATGGAGCTGGAGATGGGGATGAGAAAGGAGATGGGGACAGGAATGGACATGGGGATGGAGATGAAGATGGAGATTGGGATGGAGATGGAAGTGGGGATGGAGATGGGGATGGGGACAGGGACAGAGCTGGAGATCGGGATGGAGATGGGGATGGGAATGGAGATGGGGATGAAGATGGAGATGGGGAGGGAGATGGAGGTGGGGATGGGGATGTGGATGGAGATGAGGATGGCAATGGAGATGGGGATGGAGGTGGGGAGGGAGATGGAGCTGAGGACGGGGATGGAGCTGGAGATGGGGATGGGGACGGGAACGGAGATGGGGATGGAGCTGGGGATAGGGACAGGAACGGAGATGGGGATGGAGATGAGGATGGGGATGGAGCTGGAGCTGGGGATGGAGCTGGAGATGGGGATGGGGACGGGAACGGAGATGGAGATGGAGCTGGCGACAGGGATGGAGCTGGAGCTGGAGATGGGGATGGGGATGGGGATGAGGATGGGGATGGGGATGGGAATGGAGATGGAGACGGGTGGTCCCAGCAGGAACTGGGGTGCCCAGTTGGGAAAGTTGTGGTGAGGTTTGGGGTGCTGGGTTGAGGGACTCCTGTTGGGGATAGGGGTGCTGGGATGGATGGGTAGGGGGTCCTGTTGGGCTTTGGGATGCTGGGCTGGGGGAGTTCCAAGAGGTGTTTGGGGTGCCAGGATGGGGAGGTCCTGGCAGGGTTTGGGGTGCCCTGGGTGGAGAGGTCCTGGCAAGGTTTGGGATGCTGGGCTGGGGGAGGCCTGGCAGGGTTTGGGGTGCCAGGGGGCTCTCAGTGGTGTTTGGGATGCCAGGCTGGGGAAAATCCTGCCGGTGGGGTTTGGGATGCTGGGCTGAGGGAGTCCCAGAGGTGTTTGAGGTGCTGGGTTGGGGGACTCCCAGCAAGGTTAGGGATGCCAGGCTGGGGAGTTTTGACAGAGATTGGGGTGCCAGGCTGGGGAGGTCCCAGTGGGGTTTGGGGTGCTGGCTTGCAGGAGTGCTGTCAGGATTTGGGGTGCCAGGCTGGGGGAGGGGGGCCCAGCAGAGTTTGGGGTACTGGGTGGAGAGGGTCCTGGCAGGGTTTGGGGTGCTGGGTTGGGGAGAATCCCAATGGGATTTTGGGTACCAGGCTGGGGAGGGTAGGAACGTTGCCAGAGGGATTGAGGGTACTGGGATGGGGAAAACAGAGTCCCAGCAGGGCTGGTGAGAACTGGGGAGGGGGCACATGAAATTGCCTCAGCAGGGCTTTGGGGGTGCTGGTCTGGGGGCATGGGCATGGGCAGCAGGGTCAGGGGTGCAGGCATGGGGTGAAGATATGGATTGTCCCAGCACGGCTTTAGGTGTGCTGGGCTGGGAGAGGAGGGGGATGGTGCTAGTCAGGGATTTGGTTGTGCTGGGCTGGGAGAGGACGGAGTCAGCCCTGGGGGGCTTGGGGGTGCTGGGCTGGGGGCTCCCAGTATGCTCAGGGCTGGAGCACTTGCCCTGACTAGAGAGGCTGAGGGAGCTGGAGGTGAGAAAGCTTTGGGGACAGCCCACAGCAGCCTTCTCATCCTTTTGAAGAGGACATCAGGAAGACAGAGCCAGGTGCTTCCCAGTGGCATATGGTGGGAGGACAAGGAACAACGAACATCAATTGAAACAAGAGAGGATCTGGCTGGATGTAAGGAAAAACTTTTTTTTCCAGGACAGCAGTGACAACAGGCTGCCCAGCGAGGCTGAATGGGCTCTGTCCTTGGAGGTTTTCAGGACTGCATTAAACCTTGACCATCCTGGTCTGATCTCAGAGCTGACCCTGCTTTAAGTAGGAGGTTGGACCAGACACCTCCCCAGGTCCTTTCCAGCCCAAATTATCCTGTGCTCCTATTTCTGTGGTCCGTGGCAAGATGATCTGAGACATTGCAGGGTCTGCTGATGGGGTCACGATCTCAAACTGCAACCTCAAACCTGTTTTTTGCTGCTCTGTGTAATACTGGCCCCATTCCCCTTTACAGCCTCCTCCCCAGAGGGTAGGTTTCATTTTCTCTCTCTTTTCCGTAGACGTGAGGCCGTCTTCAGGGAGCACTGAGGTCACGCACTCGAGTTTTCCTCCCTGACTTTGAGAGGTAGGAGCTTGCGTTTAGTTACAAAGCCAAAGAGGCTGCAAATCTCATCATATCATATGACTGAGCAATGGCCTTAAAAACAGCAGTAAACATTATGAGACAAGAAAATCATGGGAGCTGGCCTGCTTCCCAGAGCGGTCCTGTTTACGACACAGGAGGGAATTGTGTTATACATGGGCTTGGGAATCCCCTGTCCTGGCGAGGTCATTAGTGCCAGGCAATTTAGGCAGAGATTAACTCTGGCCAGACAGGCTGGCTGGAGGCTTGTCCCTCCTCCAGCTGCCCGTTGCTGCCTGCGCTGAATTTCCCCAGCCCCTCAACTGAGCCAGCACATCCCCTGGTACCAATGTGCTGACTCCACGTCGCTGAAATAACCCCTGTGAGAAACAGTCCCTCCTTTTTTCAAGGGTGAATTGAATTTTGGGTTGATAGATGTTTGTTTAGCTCACCGACTTTAATCATGGTTTAATCAAGAGTTCAGTCAGCAAGCTGGAAGTTTGATCTTGCTAACTCATTTTCAGCTGATTTTATATGTGTAACTGTTGGTTTCATAAAAAGGTTCATTCCCTTGAGTTGGTAAATCTGATTGTGTTTTGCAATTGGTCGCCTTTATATTAAATTTTAGATCAAATATTAAAGTTGATATTCTCATACAAGCCAGTTGAACACACTGTATGTGGAAGCATCTATTAAGCAAATACATATCTTAACACAGATTTACTCAGGCTCTAACATTTTGCATTTTCTCAGGTTTCCTAGGCTGCTGCTAAAGAACCATTTTCAAGGATTGGTTGCTGGATGATAATTTTTCACCTGAGCATTGCCTCAGACTCTATTTGCCCAGGTACCACACAGCAATTGATGAACACCAGAATTTAAACTAGATCGGTATTTCTTAAACAAAATTTCATTTTCTATGAACGATGTGCAAGTTAGCTGTAAGAGATGGTATCTGCGATGCATCAGTGGATTGCACGTGTATGCACAAGGGGACGTGCATGTCCACGTGTATGGGCAAGGTTTTCCTAAGGCGCTCTCTGAACCAGTGGTGCCTCCTCCCTTTTCTTTCTAGCTCAATTAACGGTGATTTCTCCCTGCTGCTGCATTCAGCAGTGCAAAGTTGTCTGAGGCCTTATTTTCAAGTGCTGGTACATTTACAAAGAGCACAGTACCTCATACGTGTGAAAACACTCAGGCTAGAGGAGGGCAATAAACAGAAAACCCTTGATTTCACCCCTCCTTGCAGGAGGCGGCAGCTATCCTTTAGTGGTTATTGCTGCTCGACACTCCACCGTGAAACCACAGCTTCGCTTTATCAAAAGCATGATTTGCACTTCAAAATATTTGGATTTTCTGAACCCATGCAAAAAGCCCTTAAGGCTCGGACGTATCCGAGGTGGAGTCTGGGAGCTCTGGCTACTAAATTGTGCTATATTATTTTGGCAATTAAGATACCCCACAGCTGTCTCCCTGCTTTTTTCCCCTGGGTTTTCCATCTCTCCTCAGATGCACAGGGAGGCACTGGATCCTGTTTATATGTGGCACCATTCCCGAAGTGTGGTTGTGAACGGTGCAAGCTGCAACCCTCAGGGCTGCTAAACCCAAATCGTGAGTTGGTGCCCTCAGGTGCCACAGCTCAACCAATTATTCTCCTTAGGGAAATTTTCCTTTGGGGCTGTGGATTTTCTCCTGAGTTGATGCAAAGCTGTTTTCCAAGCAGGAAAGTTCAGAGAGCATATGTGCTCCCGTATCTGTTCAGGGTAAGGCCCTCCAAAGCTCTACGAGGGTAGGACTTTCCAGCCGATCTCAGCAGCAAGACTGGCGTAATGACAGAAAAGAGAAGATAAGTGCTGTGATCCTTCTCTTTTCCCTTAACCTTGGTTGGAGAAATGTCTGGAGAAGCTCACAGTGCATTGGTCAGTTTATGATGATTTACTTCAATCTATCCATTGATCTTTGTGAGCTTATAGCAACATTGGCGAGAAATATTGATGACATTTGACAAAACAGCAAAGTAAGAAAAAGCAAACCAAGTAAGCAGTTATGAAAGAAATTTCCTAAGAAGCAGAAATTAATAAAGGAGTCCTTAAAGAACAAAAAGACCCAAGAAAACAGAATTTAAATATTAGGCTATGTGCATAAGCTTAAAATGAGAAAAGCCAAGACACCAAAGAAATTTCACGTAATAAGGGATGCAAAAACCAATCCAGGCAATTCTGTACATGTATGAAAGCAAGAGGAAAATGAAGGATGGAGTAAATCCATGAATTCTCAGAGAGCGGGAAACCAAATAATGGAAGCCACACCCTTTTTTTCACCCTTCAAAAAGGGATTAGCAAGCAAAATTAATTTAAAACAATGGGAGCAGAGAGAGCGCAGAGCAAGAACAGGTTAAAAGATGAGAGGAGGCAAGTCTGGTGTATTCAAGGGCCTGAAGAAACCTGTGCAAGGGTGGCTGTGAAGTCGGCAGGGTGAAGCCTGGCTCCTCAGGGGTTATCAGAGGGAACTTGACGAGGAGGTTTTGGAGGACTGGAGAAGGGCAAACGCTGTGCATGCCTGTGAGAAGGAGGGGAGTGAGACTCTAGGGAATCAGAGGCAGGCCAGCTTTATTCCAGTAGCCAGGAAGATACTGTTAAAAATTATCAATCAATTTATAAGCACCTGGAGGATAATAAGGTAATAAAAAACAGCCAACATGGATTTGACAAGAATAAATCATGTCAAGCTGGTTTCATTTTCTACTCTGAGAGGATGACTGGCCATATCTTGACTTGGGGAAGGCTTTTCTTGCTGCCCCAGTGACTCTCTCATAAATATGCAGGGAATATACAGCCCCTGTGAGCTCTGCGGGAGCGTCACCTCCAGACAAACCCCCACCAACTGCTCCAAAAGCTGTTTGCTGCTGCATCAGAAGAGGTGCAATGGCTCTGAGGCAGGCATCTAAAGTTAGGTAAGGTAAATTGCACCCTTAGGCAATGATTAAGGATATCAAGCTAGAAGAGTCTGCAAACATTTCTGAGGTTAGGGTGAGAATTAGAAATGATTTTGTTAAACTGGAGGGATAGGTCCAAAGTCAACAGAATGAAATGCCATGAGTGATAGGGAGGGAAGGAGGCAGAAAGTGGCATACCTGGCTGGAAAAGAGGATCAGGAGATGTAAATGGCCCACAGACAAAATGCGAGTCGATAACAAAAATGGTGTTACGAGGAAAGCGCATCCTGTTCTGGGAGGTTTTCTGGAGTTATTTATAGAAAATTTGGGGTAGTTGCTGGGTTCAGCCCAGTTTTGCTATCGCATGAAGATGTATACATGCTAGAGTCCGGAGAAAGGCAAGAAGAATGACAAGCATTTGAGAAAATAGGAATTAGAAAGGAAATGGGATATTTTTTCCCCCAGAAAAACCCACAGGAATAATAGGTGTCATTGGAGGAACAGGGTTTATGGCAAAACTATTCCAGTATAGAGAAAGTTATTAGGGTAAGATATTGGAATTTTTCTTCACACCAAGCTGTTCGTTTCTCAAAAGGACAGTACCATTCTGAGCTGTTTATGCATCTTTTCTAGCTGAGAAAACAGTGACTGAGAAAATCAGATGTTCATTTTGGACTCAGAGAGCTTTTGTGTGGCATGTGGGCTCAACACATCAGTGAAGAGCAGCAGCATTAACAGCAGCAGCATGGATCAATGCAAGCGTTTCAGGCTAGACAAATATGATTAGAGAAATCAGCAGTGGTGGATGGCAGAAAACATGTAAAATAAGTGCATGGTGCTGAGCTAGATTAGAGTGCACTTTTTTTCCAGTAATCCTGCTCTATTTTACCCCATGAGTGTTGAGACCCTGTTCATTTTCTTGCTGACCTTTAGTACTTATCTTCTGTTGCAAAGGGCTGCCTGTATTCCTTGAGGACAATAGGGGGGTTTTTTGGTCCTTGCTTTAAAAGTTAAATCAGTTTTTTCTTACAAAAAAGGGTGTTTTGGAGCACTGGGGATTGTCCAGCCCATTGCAATGGCTGATGACAACCATCTGCATGTCACCCCTTCCCATGTGCAGCTGGCTGGGGTGTCTGACATGCAACACAGGTACTGACTTACACACAGAGCTTACACACAGAGCCCTCGGTGTGGCTGGGCTCCAATTTCAAAACAGACCTGAGGGGGAGGACACATTTTTCAAGGCTTCATCACTTCAAGGACATGTAGCTCTGAAAAGCCGCTGGCTCGGGATCAGGCAGGATACTCGGCACTGGGCCAGGGTCTCCAGCTTATTTGCATTTGCTGCTCCTTGCACTGAGCTGAGAAGGAAATAATAGTGCAGGAAACGACATTCCTTTCCATGTCCAAAGCCCCAGTGTTTTTTCTTTTAGGTCTGTTTTACTTTTTTGTAATGTTGCCATGGCCTCGGATGCCCTTATAGCAGTCCTGGTACAATCACAGGGCAAAAAAGCAAGCCCCTGCCCTGTACAAGCTACTCTTGGGTGGGATCTGTCTCACCTGGCTTTAGGTGTCTCCCATTGAGATGTCTTCATAGCCAGTGGAGAAAAATAGCCTCTTGAAGGACATCTTCCTCTGACCCATTCTGGTTAGCTCTCAGATGAAGTAAGTGTGCTCCATCTGCAGGCAGTTCAGCAACAGCCCCGCATGTCAGAAAAGAGTCACAAAACCACAAGCGCTGATTTTTTACACCACCACAACACTGTTTTCTTCAACTCACTTGCCCCATAAGCACTCAGGTGTTTTGTACCCCCAAGGTCTCCCGCGTGATGGCAGGGATGAGGAGGGGGCAGTGGCAGGACTGCAGATGGTTATTGTGGTAAGTTGGAGGGGGGCACAGGAAACTGCCCTTCCCAGGGTGACACTCCTGTAAATTATTCATCTGATTTTATTTCTCATCTGATGGAGAAATTGCTTCTGAAAACAAGGTCTCTTGAGAAAACTTCCTTTAACTGATACTTGGAACAGACTTTATTCATGCTGCCAGCAGCAATGATCCCTGCTGATTAAATAGTAGATAGACCTTATTCTTGCTGAATTACCCATTTTTACAAGGCCTGGCACATTTAACAATCAGTTCTAGGTTATATTCATAAGCAAGAGGCCAACACCAATTTTTATATCAGCCAAGACTTTGTATTGCAGGATACTCCAAGGAGTAATTGTCAAGGTAATTCTTTTGTATTTTCAATAAGTGCTTTAGCTGTGTTGTTACGAGATGTTCAATGTCTTGCTCTGAATGAATGGGGACAATTTCTTACCTTACAGGGCCTATGGCATTGTTGGCATGCTGTGTTTGCCTTGTTGCTGAGGCTCTCAAACATCATTTGCCCTGCTCACCCCTGGCTGTGTAAGCCAGCGGGGCAGGGGACAGTGTCTTTCAGGTTTGTGCCAGGCTGTGTTGATATGCAGAAAGAGGCAGGTCTCAGCCTCCCTTTTTCCCTCCCCTCATTCAGAACACCTCAGCCGTGCAAATCAGTCCATAAGCATATCCCACTCACCCAGCATGGCTATCTCTTCATCTATGGTAGGAGACAAAAGTGGAAGGGCCTACACAACCACAGAGGAACGTCCTACAGGTCCTACCATCCCTATGGGGATGGTCCTCTATCAGGGTCATATATCACCCTACATCTGTACAGGGATGATGGTTCTTCACTCTACATCCCTACAGAGATGATGATCCTACACCATCTCAGCAGCTACAGGATTCAGTGATGGTGGTGGAGCTCACCTTTACCAGTGCAAGCAGTTGGAGGCCAGATCCCACTCCTCAGTCCTACACAGAGCTCACAACAGCTGAGAAATCACCTTTCTTCCTTGCTGGTCCACTGGAGTGCAGAGCCCATCTTAGACCGGCTACCACCATTGGTAGGGCTCCAGCTTAAAGGAAGGATGATTTAATGATTAAGAGAGAGGACTGAAACTCCAGTTTCAGTGGCTGGCTTTGCTACGGTATTTGTACATTATCTTGGACCAGTCAATAAATCATTCTGCATTTTCCTCTGAGTAAGCTGGAGGACAACCATAATTCTTTCCATTCTTCACATTTTGAGGACACTTTATAGCCCATGGATCACAATTAGTCTGTTGCAGTAACAAGTGAGATGAGCTTGCTTGAACCACCAGAGCAGATGGTTTGCATGGCCTTATTTTATTCTGTAATGCTGTAGCCTGCAGCTAGCCCAGAAGGGGCAGCAGCCCTGCAAGTAATTACTGACATGATTTGGTGCACCTTTAACTCAGTAAACTCCTAAGAAGTTTAACCTGGCACAACTGATGAGGGTGGGGAACCGCAGAGCTGGGGCAAGAGGCAGGGATTTCTTAAATCAACTTCACCACTGAAATGGAGGTACCCTCTATACCTGTGTTCTAACAGGAGAAAGCCAAACAGGGAGTGTCTAACTGAAGAACAAGCACCCAACTAAGCATACCCAGAGGCAGCTCTAGATTTCCTGAATGGGTTCATTTTGGTAAGACATTTAACTATTATTTGTAACACTGCTATGCCAGGAAACCCCACCTGAGATCAGAGTTCCCTCATGGGTGCTGTGCAAGTGCCTGCGGGACAGTCATCACACCAGAATTTTAGACCTGAAACACGTTTTTTTTTAATGAAAAGATGATCCCCAGGTTTGTGACTATTTAGATAAGAACAGAACTGGTTGAAAGGCTCAAAATTTGTTTTTCAGGTCAATTTCTTTCTTGAAAATTAAACTTTCTTCTCAAACCATAAAACTAAAATTAAGTTCAATTTCAGATTGCTCTCTGTACCTCCTGGCATGGGGCTGCACTTCGGGAGCATGCTACATTCAGATTTGTAGCTTGGGCCCGTCTTTTGTAGGAATGGGATGGCCAGATCCAAGTTCCTTCAAGCTTAAGATGATGTTTGAATTTATGGCCATTGTGGCCTGGGCAGAATGCCCTAGGTCTGAACTGCAACAGAGTGGATTTAGGTTGCCATCAGGACACCTTTTTCAGGAATAAGTCTAGTTAAGAGATGCAGTAAGTTGTTGGGGGCAGAGGGAGAAGTTCTGCCACTGGAGGGTTTTAAGAATATTCATCTTTTTAGAGAGTCTTCTCTCAGGGACAGACAGGTAATTTCTGCTTGGGGTGGGAGGATGGGTGAGTTGATCTCCTAAGTTCTCCATGAACTGCATTTTCTCGGCTGCCATGCTTTTTTTAACCAGCCTGTATCTCCAGCCTCTCCCTGTGATGCATCGTTTTTTATTGGACAGCTAGGCAGTGTCCTAATATTATGCTTTTGGAGATGTGACTCCTAATCCTGCTTGGAGGCACTACTGACAATATTTTGGCTTGCCCATCAATCCCTGGTGGTCACTGAGACATGTGGTTACACCACTATCTTGTCACCTCCCTTTGAGGGCAGACTCAACCTGGACTTACTTCAGGCAGGGATCACATTGAGGCGGCAGCGCTTGTCCGTCCGCCTGTCTCACACCTTTCCACTTCAGGGGGATCAGACTCCTCCTCAGGCAAATAAAAGGGTAAAGAGAAAAAAATCAATTTTAATAAGTTTTTGTTCTTTACAGGTCTTCTGTCTCTCTGGCAGACCTGAGATTTCCCTGGGGAAAAGGGAGCCTTTTTCTCTGCACAGTTGTGGGTTAGGATGAGTCCTTTCAGATCTTTTGCTGAATGTGAGCATCTGACTGCCTGGGTAACTATTTATGCGAAAAGATCAATTAGGAAATGGAGACCTACCCAATTGGCGAAATGTTAAATATTCACAAAATTCATGTAGCATGAACCAGAGAGGACCTTAATTATTTTCCTCTGAGTTCTATCGCTCATTGAGAGTGTTGAAATAAAATGCTAATTTGCTGAGACCTGGTGAATATTCACCGCTCCCAAGCCTTTCTTCCATTAGCACTTGAAAACCACAGGTTCCTTCACAAGCCATCCTTGATGTTTTATAAATGTCATAGCTAAGACATCGTTTCTACTTCCTTTAATGCATTTTTTACAGCTGCAGTAGAGATATTATTTCGATTCAGGCTGCAGACAGTCAGCCTGAAAAAGACCTCAGTTACCTCTCCTGGGATGTTTCCAAAACAGCAAATGCTACCTAACTTCAAGCTAATAACCTACTCGAGGACACTGTTTCACATTTACGTTGCAATCATCTTAGCTGCAGAACTGCAGGTTAGGAGCATGATGTAACCTTACAGGTACAAAAAAGCTTTCAGAAGAGGGCTTGATCCTCTG